TTGGATTTTAACCGGATTCTGAGCATCAAATGAAACGTCAGGACAATCCAGACGAATCTCGAACATCTGGCAATCTGATATCCATTCTCCTCTACATACAAAAAATCTATAATTATTAGCCAAAGACACAAAACCATTGCGAGCATTTACTCGTACAGGCAGGTAAAATTTTAATACTAACTTTACGTCAGCGCATTAGTTAGAATAAAAAGTATGTTTGGTCGGCAACTATTTAGACATTAATGCAATACACACCTGAGTAAAGCCGTATATCTTTAATTAACTGCTCTCAACCAACTAAGTATGTTATAATAAGAATGTTTCCTCAGGAAAATTAAATATGTATAAGTAAATATGTTTATACACACATATGAGTACACAATCATCAGTAATTCTTAACCAGGACAAATACAAATGTCTCAATTAATTCTCTAGGCTATCTAAATATAGATATTGCTTGAATACACACTGTTTAAACCACAATTACTGAATGTATATTTAATAATTACTGAAATAACAATTACACTTTTATTATAACTACAATTTGGAAACCAAGTAAGAATTAACACAGGCTCCCATGTGCGTTTCCATTACCATCGGCTGTCTTTCACAAAGTTATAAAGGGTCGATTTTATTTAATTTAATTTTTCATGTTTATTTTAACAATAAATTAAATGTTTTGTTTAACCCAAACCTGAATTATCTTTTAGTGAACTTTGACATCAAAATGGCGCAAATCATAGTAAGTATCAAATATTTATGAAAAGTCGCAAATATCACTGGCATATCTACCGTTAATAAACTATGGCGATAGTATTTAAACAATAGTTTGCATTGCCTCATAGAGATAAAACTTAAAATGGTGTGACAGTGAGCGAAAATGCCGGTGCGACTTCGACTACTGTCACTTCGTTGAGAATAGACCCTTGATGTGTGATCCTACACACCAGAGAAATCAGAATTATGTATGAGTACTGAAAATATTAATTTTAATTGGAATCTGTTGAATAATACCTACTTTTATATATACGTATGATAGCTCAAGCTCGCGACTTTACTTGTGTTAAAGTTATTTTTCTATTCTTGGAGGACATTTTTTTTTCTTGATGTAAACAATTTATACTGTTTAATTTCGACGAGCCTTAACTATGTTTCGTTGATCCTTTTAACATCGGTAATGTGCTAGTAAAATCTAGTCCAAAGTCGTTTTAGACTCATGTGGCGACTTCCACATACCATGAACCGAAGAAACGTACAACAGCGCCAACTAAGGAAGACACAGAGCTACGGAATAACTGCTAATCCTGCATCGTGATATTAACGTAATGAGTTTGTACAGCACAGGCATATAATAGATTTTCGATAGGTAAGATTATGACAAAACAGAGACTGTTGCTATTGTGTGTGTTGATCTATGACTTTTGAGTCCACATAAAAGAGGATTTCAAACAATTTTATGAAATAAATATATTTTGAGTTGAGTTGAGTTAAGAAGTCTCTCGCCGATTAGCATCAACCGCAACTCGCATTTATACAACTTCCCAACATCAACCTTCGGGCCGCAGACGCGGCGTTGGAGGGGCATGACACCCGTTCCTCTATATAATTATAGACAAATCTTTATATAATTATATTTTTGGATTAAGTAGGTTACATGTTAACATGCCAATGGATTTAGCTTAAAACAACTTATTTTACCACAAACAGACACTTCCATTTATTTGTTTGCATAGATGTATAGATACCTTGTATGATAAACAGCTTTAATAAATAATCTGATAGCCTTCACCTATTGGACTAATCAATAGGCAAATCATGAACCGCTTGGGTTCTGACTATGAGGCAAATATTATGACATTGAGTTGCAGAAATGACATTGGGCTGCCAATATGATGGGCTACAAGAAATGCTTGTTCTTAAAGCATATGTAGCTAACACAAAATTGTTACTGTTCATTTTTTTTTTAATTTTGTAGCCATTTTGATTGACCTCCCTTTTAAATAGAATGTGGTGTTAACCATTAAATAATTGTTACATTTTTGTTAATAATTGTATTTTATGTTAATAATTGTAAGGTGCAGTATAATCAACTGTTGGTTAGCCATAAATAAATAAATAAAAATACAGTTTCAAACCCAAGCTCTATATGGAAATGACAAAGACTTAAAATATTACTAATGTGGAGCTATCAAATTTGTCAAGCTGACACCTACAGTGTAGGTACAAACTATTTAATTTATTTTTTCCAAATTTTGTTACAACAATGTGAAACTGTTGACCGTGACTTGAGTTTACTGTCGTGTTTATTATAATGGATTAATTATACATGTTTTGTTAATTATTCTAGAATAAAATCACCCATCAGCTTAGAATCACTTGGATAATGAACACTTTGCAAATATCTTCATTATTCATATATTTCATCAAAAGTCATGTTTATTAATATGTATGTAATCTGAAATTCTAATTCTATTAGTGTATGTATTGCATGTTTGTGAGTAGGTATGTATATCTAGCAGTATGTTAATTACATAAAAAATACATTCTTTGCTCTGTGTACCTAACCTACCTACAGAATAATCTAAATTATACACCTGCCAAGTGCGCCTCTAGATCAGTATAAGGTTGACTGGAAGCATTTTTTTTTATTTTTTGCTTAGATAAATGCTTTTAATGTATTATCTTTTCAATTTTATATTTTGGGCTACTGATAACCTTCTCGTAACACAAGTAGTAACTGAGATGGAGGGGTTAAAGAGATCACTGGTAGTGTGTGACCCATTGAAACAGTAGTGAGATAAATTACAATGTAGTAAAGTGAAATATTGTTAAGTCAAATATGTAATAATGTATGTAATTATTGCGCAGTATAAGTAATGTGTATATAAATCAGACTAATGTTACTCATATTAGTTCATTTGTTACTATTTACACTTTAACTTGTCAACTGATCATGATATAATTTTAAAATGCTTTCAGGAATACAGAAGAGAACTTAAGAGTATATTTCATGCAGAAAGTATGTTTCCAGAGGAAAAGGAAAATAAGTTTAAAAGAAAAGAAATGTCCAAAACTTATTTTGAACAACTAGCCATTCTTAACATTCTTTATTAAATTTTACTTCGGTGGGTGCAAAATCGTTTACCCAAATGACTACAGTATTGGGTTCTTAGAAAAGCCATTAAATTTATTTCCAAGGCCAACAATGCATGCATAACAGTGTGTGTGTACATGTTATTAGTCTACAACAAACTTTAATCAGTCTTATTGTATGCTTTTACTACTTTAATGGTATCAAGAAACTCACAATTCTCAATTAACACATTCAAATGGTCTGCTGGCCATTGATTCACTAACCAATAGACCTACACACAACCAGTAGACAGAATCACTATTCTGAGTTCTAAGCTAGAGCTTGTAGCTCAATTCTTACCCAGCGCAATTAATTGTACAATAAGTGTTTATTTCTTTTGTATTTATGTTTTTTTTTACAATATATATATGTATAGGTGTTGGCAGTTTAGTTACTACAGTAAAGGCTTTGCCTAGTTTGGGAACAGATGTGTGAGATGTGTACAATTTATTGTTATTACTATAACAACACTTTATATACACTCACAGTCACACTTTAGTTGTGACTCAATTAATCATCCAACAATATTAATTGTTGGATGATAGTCACACATAATAAAATTCAATGAACTTCAAGATTAATCCAAAAAAAGTTTATTGAGACTGTTTACTGGTCAGATAGAAAGAGAAGTTATTACCTTTAAATACAAAACAATAAAAATGACATGTAATGATGCAACAGTATGAAATAAATACGCAGCTTCTGATAACAAATTACAAAGTTAGCAATGCAGTTATTACATTTTTTATAACAAACCATTTAAAGTTAATAATTATATGTTCAGCTGCATATTTAAGTTTGTAAACCAATATGAGTATAATGACTTTGTTTCTTTGTCTTTATAAAACAAAACATTTATGGTTAAAGAGCACTTTTTTTAAAATTGTTGCACATGTTTTGAAAAAAGAACATTTTAAGACCTGACAGAACATAAGATAGACATTTTTAACAGGACAGGTGAATGACTTTAATACTGCCAAATTTAGAGGTATAGGCAAGAAGCAGTGAATGATGAAAATTTACATGTAATGGCCACTGTCCCTTCATGAAATTTTGCTTAATATCAAGTGAAGTAGTCCACCAAGCGATTAACTAAGTACAAAGTTGAGTTATTAGAAAAGTAGAAGATTTAACTAACTTTTTGATGAAAGGAATATATTATTGCCCAGTGTAAGTTAACAATACCTAATGGCTTTGACATCATAGAAATGTAATGTACTTTTTATACTTGTCTTAATACTGAAGTCATAGAGAAGGTTTAGGGGCCCAGATAAAATTTTACACATAATTTATGGATGACATTTATACTAACAATGTCTGGATATGCGAGTTCTGAGCACAAAGTTTCTAAATATAAATTGAATGTTTGGTAAATAAATATGGAGACTTAAAACAACAAACAATATAAAATTATGTAGTTATGTGCTAAACCTGTCAGATTACCTACATTCCCCTGTTCCTCATTTTTTTTTTATAAAAAAAATTCTAAAATAAGCATCGTAAAGTTTAAGAGCGTAAAAATTTGAATAAATATACATTTCTGTTTATTACCTATGTATTTAAGTGTGTCATACGACATTTCAAAACAAATACGTAAACAACGCAATCTGCTAATTTCACGGTCAAGAATAGCAATAAAAAAAATAAACATCGAACGCGGTGCAGACGAAACAAAGGCTGCCCGTGACACTTTGATAGAAAAAAAATCAATGTTGGGCGAGGATAGTCCGCGTGTAATTAATATACCACGTTAATGCCAAATTACCGATGATGTTTAAATAACTATAACATAATATTGCGTAAGATACATACCACAGAAATAAAGCGCAAATTCTTGACGTAAGAAATAAACATACGCGATTCTTACCTAGAACAAATTCCCAGGTATCACAGCCCAGGGAGCGTTCAGGGACGATTTCCAAATCCAACATCGTGCACAAAACACTAAACACAAACTAAACTAACTAAGTTCCACTTAAAAAAAATCTTTTAAACGCTAAAATTCGCTATTACGCTGCCTTTTCTTTGTTTGCCAACTTTAGTTTTCAACCATTTTGTATTTGTCAGAGCAACTGTCATTACAAACAGCTGATTGTATTTTAACAGGGCTGAACTGAGAGTATTATTTTTTCTTGCGGCATTCGTGTATATCTTGCATCGCCTTGCCAGCTCTAATATATGAGGAAATATCGGATGTTTGTCTATAAATAACAACATAATAATTGTGGATAAGTGCAACAGAGGAACCAAAAATTTACAAATGAATAAAATGTTTCTTTGTTGGAATAATTTTAATGTTTTCAAATGTTTGGTTTAACCCTCACAATAGGGTAAGACAACAATGATACTGATGTGATAATGACAGCCCTGCAGAAAAAGGGGGTGTAAGCTGTTTGGGTTGACTTGTCAAATATATATTATGTGTTCTTTTGAACATGCTATCAAATCATTGCTTTTGCCTATTAATTGAGGTGTCAATATATTTTTTTAATTTAAATTGAAAAATGAGGGCCCGAATTATTATTAATTACAAGCTCTCACTACACTGTTTTCTAAATGTCACTGCTACGACGTTCTTGATGGTGATCCAGTATCACCATATGAAAAATTTCGGGTCATTTTTTCAAGATAACATTTCATTTACAAATTGATTGACGCCTTAATAGAAAAAACAGCAATGATTTGATAGCATACAATAACAACTGCCTAGGCAGTAAAAGGAAGGAAATATTCATCATGTTCAGTAAAGAAATACCTAGTCTGGCCATAAATACAGTTACAATAAAATAAATCATTTGAATTGAAATCTGTAACTCTTAGATAAATATTTACTGTCATTTCTCAATTTAGCGACAATCGATCTTAAATATTTTTGTGATATTAAAATCAAGTGGGGTAATAAAGATAAGCGAATTGCCGTGATAGAATTATACAAAGTAGGTGTGGAGCTAAATGCAAATTTATACTCTCCATCTACATGCTATTAGTCGAATGATTGTGTATCGGGCTATTGATTTAAATTAAACCTCCTCTGTGTGTGAATAAAATAGATCTGGCCCTCCACGTAGTATCCGTGTAAAAAAGACAATCAAAGCAGTAAAGGAAAGAATTCGTAGAAATCCTATCCTAAGGCAAAAGATTTTATCTCAAAAAATGTATAAAACACATAAAGCCAGGTTGCGTTTTTTAAGATTTGCAATCTATAATAAAATGAACTGGTCAATATTTAACTGATAATGTAATAATGAATAGTTATAAAATCAAAACCACTTTTGAGCGGTATGTAAAAGGACGGTCACAGAAAAAAATATTTACTGGTCCGAAAATGTTTACTATTGAGCAAAATTTTAACAAGCAGAATTACCGAGTTTATGGTCAAAGCTCTTTATGAGTTTCCCAATTAGTGAACAAAGTAGAACGTAGGCATTATCCGACTTCAGTGATGGTTTGGTGGGGTAGCTAGCAAAGAGTGGCTAAGCCATATTTTTTATAAAAAGGGTCAAAACAATGCATAAGATTGGCAGTTAAGAATTTTCCCTCTTAGAAAGGGCCTCAACTTTTAAAGGACTGTATTAAAGCCAATGGCCTCCATATATATTTTAATGCTATTATTATTAATGTATAAACTAACAGACACTACAGTAAGAAATGTTTTATGTAATAGAAAAAAAAGATATTTCCTTGTAACTATATTTATGGAAGATAAGACTAGATAGAAGAGAAACAGCTTTGTATACATCGGTACGTTCTTAACAATCACAAAAGTCCTTAAAGGGCTGTGCCACATCAAAACAATAACTGCGACAATCATGGCAGCAGAGTAGTCTCACAGTATTTTACTTTCACGAGCCATGACGCTGAGTACCGTAAGGTTATAGATGTCAGAAACTGTGTTGTTTCTAATGAAAATAATTTATAACACGTGAAATTTTAAATCTTCCTATAGAGTTGATTTGTCATAAGTAAGGTTTCTATTATTGCTAATTGTTGCTATTATTTCTGTTATGCTAAATGTCACTTAAAACTTAACCTGAGTACGTTGTACGTTACCATTCCGCTTCATACTATATAGAAAGACCGATTACATTTTCTAGGGCTTTTGCACCGGTCACTAAAGGTAATAGCCAAAACCATGTTGTAATGAAGTGAAGGTCTGCGTAATAGAGAATATCGAATAATAAATAAATATCGAGATTGCAAGATGAAAACTCATTGCGTCGAACCCATATAAATTTCGGTAAATGGTAAGAAGATGTCAGTATTGTTGTATAATTTACTATATAGTAAATTATATCTAATATGTTTGAGATTACGTAAATATAACATTATAACTCAATTACAAAAATCTTACGAAGTAACTTGGCCAAAAGTCTTAACACCAGCGCATTAACAGATACATAGACGATTGCTCTAAACAAAATGTTTTTAAACAGGAAAAAAATGTTTAGAAACTTCTACTCAGCACAGAAAATAAAATTGAAAATAAATTAGCGATTTCATTGTGTATTTACACGTTCTTTGATCGTAAACCAATCAAAGTACAAAAATAATGTTCCTGTGGTATAATTGTATCTTGTTGAAACTGTTTTATTGGAATACAAGAAAAACGCCTGCAATATAATCACATCTCTCCTTTTTGCGACTCACGGAAGTAAGAGGCAATTTCCAGTTACTTAATATTTTTTTTAAAAAGACACATTCCATATTAGGAATATATTCTGCGTCGCGGGGGACTTTACACACCGATAGGTGGTATCCGAGGGGATTTCCGCACGGAAAAAAAAAAGGGGGGGACTTACAAACATTCATGAAACGTACACAAAGAACACACATGTATACAAAGATCAAGAAGGAGTGATTCAGGTTTAAAGTTAATGTTGATGTAAAAGCTAAGTGGTTTTTTGGTTGTTTTAGTGGAATCAAGAATTAAATACAATATAAATAATGAGTTTACCACAAGAAGTAATATTACCATACATTTTTCTTTTGCTCTGAAAAAACATGAATACAGCCCTGACTAAAACGAATGACGCACGCGTACACCAACCATGACAGAAGAAATAATATTGGAGAGACTGTTTTATATGCATCTCTGTTTCACTACTGGGCATCATAATTCGTTGTCTCTCTCATTTCAACAGTCTTATTGCCATCTCGTTTTATCTTTACCAACAGAAATGTATCTGTCTCTGTCGATTAAACATGTTATTGATAATTGGATAGAAAATGTGACTTATTCATAGCAGAATATTCGATATTCATAAAATGGCACACTAGTTTGTTCTTTAGGAATAATCAAATTAAGCGAGCAATGTATATGATATTACTACATTGCGATAAACCCTAGTATACTTCTTTGGGCATGGTACGTGCGTCCCTGAATTACTATTCCTAGGACGACCTAGACTGCTCGTCTGGTTCTAAAATAACATTCTAGAACTAAATTAATATCCATTTGTAGATGTTACTGATATACCGTGCATAGAGACAAAGCTTTCGCTCCGTTTCCCGCCATTCTCAAATAACCTTGAAGCGATCTCGACGCCCACTTGCCTACGTAATGTTATTGTGTAATAACATGTTTATTTACATCGAAATAGAATTTAGGTATTCCGCAGAAAAAGCGTCACAGGACTTTGGACTAAACCCTGAATACCTATTCTCTAATTTTCATTATATTTTATAGCTAACTGCACTCGACCTACGTTTTGAACACGCTAAAGGGCATTACTCTTTGAAACACTGAAGAGATTATATTCTAAAAGCACAATGGTACCCATCTAACTGTTACGAGACCATATTTACGTTGTAATCTTTCTTCTTATGAAATGGAATTGAATGGTGACGAAAAATATTATACTTAGCTTAAAATAAAATTGTTAAGTCTAGCCACGAACTTTAGAAACAAAGTTGTCACCAGTAAACCTGTTTTTGGTTGGAACTGCAGGGTTTAAAATCTGAACATTTTGAATCTTCTAGGTCAGGCTATAGATAAACATTGCATCCTAAACATGTTTATATCTATAGCCTATATGGTAAGTACCTATAGCCTTTTATACTAAGTTTTGACCCTACGTTTGTCAACTTATTAAATATACTTCGGTACTTAAAAGATCACCAGTTACTCAACAATGGATAATATGGTTTCCATCGGGGTCGCTCTACTGGTGATCTTCTCGATACTGGTGATACCTAAAATCATCGGTGGACACAGACCAAGACATAGATCAAGTCCAACGTGAGGTTGTTGGTTGATCGCCTGTGCTTACTTAAAAAAAATATTTAGTTTTAAAAAACTAAAAAACTTGGGTGCCTGTTGTCAATAGTAAAAAGCACGCCACGCTTTTTTTCAAATTTATTTTCTATTTTTTAGTTTGGTTTTCTATAGAAAGCGTGTTTTTTAGTTTTTTTAAACATTTTTTTTTTAATTAGTGTATTGTCATCGGTCCTTCATATATCTACAAAATTTGAATGAATTCTGACCGTTTAAAGTCAGTCAAAATCACGCCCAAAGGAGTCGGTTACAAACGTACAAACAAACATACAAGTGAAGCTAATATAAAGCGTGTAAAAAATGCACCTTATCCTAATAAAATACATAAAGTTGTGTAAATCTCGTTAACCGTTATCACCATCAAGAGTATATAACTCAGAGCTAAAGGCTTTTTTACAAACAATTCATCAGTCATTTCTAGATACCTAGTTTTAGTGAATTTGTAAATTCCATGGTGCCACATGCACATTTCCCACTGTTCTTATTATAAGATTTATTTTCAAACTCAAAATAGACGTCAGTTGAATTCATTTAAAATCACTTAAATAATATTACACAATGTATTAAATAATTCTTTATTTTCACTTATTCTTAACGCGTAACCGCGTATGGCTCTAACCGCCAATATCCTGATTTGTCCTGGGTGGGAATCGAACC